AAAAATGCTTTTGTTTTTTCAATTGAAATCAGGTTTTAGAATACCCTTCTAATATATTTGCAGATCATTTCCATATCGCGTATAATCCTAGACTGGACTATTCTAAATCACAAAAACCACATTCCCAACTTATTGAAGCATGGGAAATAAATTCTAAAATTTTTCAATAAACCCAGGCAACAGATAGATTATTGATGATAGGAGTTTGTCAAACATATTTTCTTTTTAACCAAAACCAGCTTCACAAGGCACATATTAAAAAGAAATGATCAATTGAAGAAAGTTAGATATTTTGCCAATGATGCTTGTTTTGCAACAAGTATAAATATTTTTTTAGTAGGAGTAGAACTTGCATATAGCATTCACAATGTATCTTTGGAAAGAATATACAAATACCCTGTGTAGGTCTTATAGTTTGTCTTATATTTGATGAAGCAGAATCAGAAAATATTACAAATAATAGAGGAGCTGAATATCGACCCAGATATGTATGTTCAGAATGTTTTGTTAGCCAAAAAGGTCATTTTTATAAACGATATGGCTGTGGATGTTCAAAATTTGAGTATAAATATTTATACAAAAATGATACAAATGATAGATTTTGAATTTTGGGTCATTGGATCCTGGGCATGGCTGAAACCTCTGATGAGAGTAAAAAAAAGCCCTCTTAACATACTTGGTTTCTATTCTACTGACATTTTTTGACACCAGATCATTTACAGTAACTGCAAATTTGCCTAGGCTTCTTTTTATTAAAATGGCTTTAAGACTAGATCATATCAATATGACCAATATTATAAATCAAAAGTTTGACATTACTTTCAAAACCGCATCAGATTTAGAAAAAGCATTAGGAATAGCAACATGGAATGCACAGAATAAAATACGAAATAAAAAAGTAAATCTTGAAAATTTAAGATCTTTAATTGAATATCAAGGTGGATTTCCATTATGTATTTCCAATTTTTTTAATGGATTTATTGAAATATTACAAAAAAAAAATATGACATACTTGTAAAAAAAAGACAGCAAAGAAACTTACTACTGAAAACTTTTGATAAGGATCATGTAATAAGAATATCAGTATTTCTTATTTTAATAATATTGAATATCACATTTCAGGGTATTAACATATTGTTAACTCATATAATGAGTACCTTATGTAGAAAACCAAAACTATACCATTCTTTCTACAATATACTTTGTGTTGCCAACATAGTATTATATACACAACAGCATGAAAGATTTCTTGAAAAGGCCTGACAATACAAATAAAACCTGAAACAAGATTATTATATAGTGAATATATTTGAAATCTTTTGATTATTGACAATATTGATTTTATAGAAAGAACTTTTACGTATGAAAATATCTATGATGCAGTGCAAAGAACTGCACATACCACATTGAGAATAGTCTTCCAGTTTATAATGTCTATGCAACTATGCTGTCACAATCATATAAATATTAGTAATCCTCATGAAATTAATCAGTCTCTTTTTGGAACATCACTATTTACTAATAACCTTCTTGAGATTTATGAATCAGCATTTCAAAATTTTTTGTCTTCAGATATTGAGGATTGGGATGTAAAAAGTATTCTAAGTGAAATTTCTAAAAATATTCCAATTGGATGCCAGGTGCCACCTCCCAAAGTCATAATACTTAGTTCTGGAAACAATCCAAATTGTGATGCAAACATTCATAATGCATGTGATTTATTCTATAGTGATGTAGGAATATATAATACTGGATATTTAGATATAGCTTGTAACCAAGTGATTTTTCATAGGTTGATTTCATATAAAAAAAAAAATAAAGATGCAAAGCCCTTACTAGGTCAATGGCACACTTCAAAAGATATATGTGTTGTACTGATAAATATTTTTTTGGGATATAGTATCACCAATATGGCTGTAAAGCTTTGGGTTCAATTTTTAGATAAACTTGAAAGTGTTATGGACTATCAGTCTACTAGTTGAGTTTTGGAATTGATTTGGGTTGCTGTTGGCATTGCAATTTATAAATATTTGCACAACAAAAATCAAAGAATGAGTGATATTAAAAATAGTCAGAACGATGTACTCAGAGTTTGTTATCATTACTTTTGTTAGATCGGTTATTGGATTGGGCATATGATTGGTATTCATTGGGAAAACTATAAAATGCAAATAAAAAATCTTATAGCATTTGCTTTTCTCTTTCCAGTTGCAGGTAAAATTAACTACTCTAGTTCAGTAACTCATTTTTTATCTTATATTGATGAAGATCAACACCTCTCAGAACTACTCTATTATATCTGCTCTGTTAATTTAACTCAATTTGGACACTTCTTTGCTTTTGATGATGCATTGAAACCTTTTGGGATAATGTTTGTAAAAAAATATTGGGGTAAAACAGTAGACTCAGAGAAACTAAAGCTTCAAATCAGTTCTGCACAAGCAGAAAGGGAATAACTAGAGTTGTTGATTTCTGAATACATGGGAGATATGGTTACTGTTAAAGAAAAAAGAGCTGTATTATCAAAAAAAGATGCTTTATGGAAATTAGCAAATAAATTATTTGCTACTCTCTCTCTTCCAGATCCAAAAATGCATGAAATTTTTAAGTATGCACCAGAAATAACACCAACAGAATTTAATAATATTTATGCATATTATGATTTTGGAGTAGCCCGTCTTTAAGAAATTTTGCAACAGTACATATATAAGATTGAACCAAGAAATACAACAGGCCGTAGAAAACACAACATAGTAGTACACAAGCTGCTTTCACTATTAGAACACCAAAAAAAAAATATGCAAACAAATGAGCTAACAATAAATAGCAATTCACAAATCAATGAGACTGAAAATAACAATGTAAGTGCTAGGCAATTGCATGAACAAGCAGGTACAAAGCGTCAACATAGAGTTACAAACAATAATGAAAAAAAAATTCTTGAGAATTTACTTAAATATGATAATTTCCCTGAAGATAAAGTCATAGAAATATTAAGACAACTTTAGAAACAAAGTAATGACTGGGCCATGCAATGTGTTCAAATCTACTGGAATAATAATCACTACAACAAGAAAAAAAAGTTTCTCCTGATATATAAACCAATGATATAGATTTTATGATTTTTAAAATATTCCATATTTTTTATAGTGAATTTATAGTATGCAAAATTGATAATAATTACTACTCTTTATGTTATAACTTCAATTTAAATGAACAATCAAAGTATTGATATACACAATAATGTTGATTTTATGTAATACTGGATAATAAGAAAAAAAACTTAAAGGTAACCTGATTGTGTTTTCACTTTATTAAGATACAAAATAAAT